TAAATATATTTACATATGTACATGTCTGTATTTAGACCTATAAAAATGCCCTTTGCCTCCTAGTTCTTTCCTTATTTCCTTTTACTTTCATCTTATCCCACTATCATGCTCAGCCTTCTTTGGGTTTGAGTTCCTTTTCAATGTTGAATTTTGGGAACAAAAGGTAGTCTAAAGGGGCAAGATCAGAGTTGGAGGATGGGTGGGGTAAAGTGCCCAGCAAAAATCTCATGAAACAGCCCTCAGAGAGGGAGCAAGTGCACTGACGGAAAGCATCCTTGGCACAACTTTCTTGGCCTAAAAAAGTTTCAATTTTCTGAAAACTTCATAAAAATCCTCCATGATCATGGTTTTTTAAAAAAATTAAATACTTTTATTGGGGCTCTTACATCTCATCAAAATCCATACATTCATCCAGTGTGTCAAGCACATTTGCACATATGCCACCATCATCATTTTCAAAGCATTCTCTTCCCACTGAGCCCCTGATATGAGTTCCCCATTTCATGTGTTCTTTGAGAAAAATCTATCAAGATTACCCGTTGGGAATCTTAAAAAAGTCACCACGACCTTCTGTCTGGGCCTATCTGCCCTGAGTTTAATTGGTCTAGTAGGGCATCTAAGATGCCACTTTTTTTTGTTGTTGTTTAAGATATGTTTAATTTTTTAAATCATTTTATTGGGAGCTCTTACAGATATAATATTCCATAGTTCAATCACATCACGTAGTATTGTACAATTGACACGTTTCAAAACTTTCCTCTTGAACTCCTTGTTATCAGCTTCCCTTTATACCCCCACCCACCCTTATTATATATTTTCTGCCATATCTTCTATCACCCAATATATCCATTCACCTACAATTCTGTTTTCCTCAAGTGGGGCTATAGTCATCATTGCTATCAGTTCCCCCTCCCTTCCCCCTTGTTCATGTACCCCCATGGAATCATTACTCCTGGGGTAGTTTATTGTGCCAACCTGGCCGAAAAACACATGTGGGGTTAATTGGAGGGCGGAGAGATAAATGGCTTGGTGAGCCTCGCCTTTCTAGTTCTTGGGTCTCTTGCTTTGTGATGG